AATGTGAGGTGATAGTTCTTGTTTTGAAGATGTTAAAATTGGTGACCTCTTTTCATGAGCTTCTGAATCCATGATGTTGCTTAAGATTGTTCTTCTTCATGAAGGAGTTTTTTTTTTTTTTTTTAACCTGAGATGCCAGCTGAGCCTGGTGTTATGGAGGATGACCGCTTTTTGGAGACTTTCCCAATTTCTTCCATTGTTACTGGTCGGCCAGGTTTTCTCTTCTGGAGTCAATTCTGATAACTTGATTTCCCATGGCCGCAGGCACCGGCCCTACGCCCCGAGCCGCCAGCCTGACCTCAGGACGTTAGGCGAGTGAGCCCCTGAAGCCTGATTTTTTATTTTTTTATTATTATTTATTGTGAAAATACCGCCCAAATGGGTTACAATTACATGGGCAAAATAACGAGTACATTTCTTATCAAGCATTGTTGCCTTCTCCTTTGGTTCCCCTTCCCATCCTTTCCCATTTCCCCTGCTCCCACCCACCCCCCACCATCCCAGCCAAAGTTGTAAAGTTTGTTTTTGGACATAATGACTTGTACATCTCATTGTCGCAATGGGTCCACCTGTACCCCTAGTTAAACAATTTTTTCCCTTCCCCTCCACAAATTATACCAACATCAAATACAGTAAAAACAGGTGTTATTCGGTGGGGGAGGGATATACAAAGCAAAAAAGAAATAATCTTATAAATATGTTAGAAAAAATCACATGAAAGAAAAAACATTTGAATATTTATCTTGGGTTCATTTCACCTACTATCAACTTATCTGACCTTTTCTGCTTGTCTCAGACATACACTAGTTATGTTTCTTTGGGCCTGGCTTACTTCACTTAATATAATTTTTTCAAAGTCTTTCCATTTCCTAACAAATGGGCAATGTCATTCTGATGGAGGCACAGAATTCCATCATGTATATATACCACATTTTCTTAATCATTCATCTACTGAGGGGCATCTGGGTTGGTTCCATATCTTAGCTATGGTAAATAATACTGCAATAAACATAGATGTGCTGGTATCTTTAGTATGCTCCTGTTTGTGATCATTCACATAAATGCTCAAAGGTGGAATTGCTGGGTCATAGGGGAGCTCTATGTGGAGTCTTTTGAGGAACCTCCATACTACTTTTCAAAGTGGTTGCACAAGTTTACATTCCCATCAACAATGCAGCAGTGTTCCCTTCTGTCCACATCCCCTCCAGCATCTGTTGTTATTAGAGTTCTTGGTTATAGCCATTCTAACTGGGGTGAGGTGGTATCTCAATGTTGTTTTGATTGGCATGTTTTTTATGGCTAGGGAGAGTGAGCATTTCTGCATGTGTCTATTGGCCATCTCTTTCCTCTTCAGAGAAGTTTCTCTTTAAGTCTTTATCCCACTTATTTATTGGGCAGTTGTTTTTTCGAGGATTTGTTTTTGGGAATTTAATTTTTTTGAGTTCCAGGTATATTTTAGATATAAGACCCTTGTCCGTTGTATGGCTAGTGAAGACCTTCTCTCAATCTGTGGGATTTCTATTGATCTTGCTAACTATATCCTTTGCCATGCAGAAGCTCTGCAGCTTCATGAAATCCTATTTCTCCAACCTTTCTTTGATTTGTTGTTTTTCTGGGTCTGTATTAAGAAAATTTTGGCCTGTGCCAAGGAGACCTATCTTGTAATGCTTTCAGAGTGTCTGCTTTGACTCCAAGGTCTTTGGCCCATTTGGAGTTGATTCTGGTACAGGATGATATATAAGGATCTAGCTTTAGTTTTCTACAAGTGATTAACCAATTTTGCCAGCACCATTTACTGAACAGGCAGTCTTGCTTCCATTCTATTTTTTTAGCTCCCTTATCAAAGATTAGATGGCTATAGGTCTTTAGGTTCATTTCTGGGTTTTCAATTCTGTTCCATTGGTTCTGAGGTCTGTTCTTGTGTCAGTACCAGGCTGTTTAGATTACTATGGCTTTGTGGTAGAGTTTGAAATTTGGTATTGATATTCCTCCAGGAATGTTCTTTCTGTTAAGGATCATTTTTGCTATTCGGGTCTTTTATTGTTCCATAAGAATTTTTGGATTGCCTCTTCTATTTCCTTGGAATATTGCTAGGTATCACATTGAATTTGTAGATAGCCTTGGTAAGTGTTGATCCTTCCAATCCAGGAGCATGGGAGGTTTTGTCACTTTCTAAGTTTTGTTTTGATTTCCTTTTTCAGGTTTTTAAAGTTTTCATCATAGAGGTCCTTCACTTCTTTGGTTAAGTTAATTCCTAGGTATTTTATGAACATTGCTGCAAAACTTCTCAACAAAATGTTGGCCAATCGACTTCAACAATTCATCCAAAAAATCATACACCATGATTAAACAGGGTTCAGTTCAGGGATGCAAAGCTGGTTCAATATATGCATATCAATTAATATAATTCATCACATCAACAAGAGAAAGGATAAGAACCACATGGTTAATAGATGCAGAAAAAGCATTTGACAAGATCCAACACCCCTTTAGGATGAAGGTTCTGGAAAAATTAGGAATCCATGGAACATTCCACAATACAATAAAGGTTGTATATGACAAACCTACAGCCAGCCTTATACTTAATGGTGAAAAACTAAAGCCATTGCATTAACTCAGGAACTAGACAAGGATGTCCACTTTCTCCACTTCTCTTCAATCTAGTATTAGAATGCCTAGCTACAGCAATAAGACAAGATGCAAACATAATAGGGATCCAAATAGGGAAAGAAGAAGTAAAACTCTCCCTCTTTGCAGATGACATGATCTTGTACTTCAAAAATCCCACGGACTCCACTCCCAAGGTCCTCAAGCTGATTCAAAATTTTAGCAAAGTAGCAGGGTATAAAATTAGCCCTTGAGGGGCTGGGAAGGTGGCTCAGTGGTAGAGCACTTGCCTTGCATGCATGAGGCCCTGGGTTCGATTCCTCAGCATCACATAAGCAAAAAGAAATAAGCTGGAAGTGGCGCTGTGGCTCAAGTGGTAGAGCGCTAGCCTTGAGCTGAAGAACTGAGTGACAGCGCCCAGGCCCAGGGTTCAAGCCCCACAATTGGACCCCCAAAAAAATTAGCCCTCAAAAATCAGTGGCTTTTCTATATGCCAACAATGAAAAAAGCGTGGCTGAAATCAGGAAAGCAACCCCATTCGTAAAAGCCCCACAAAAACAAAATACCTAGGAAGCTTGGTTTTTAAAAAAAATGTATTTGTATGTATATTCATCTATTCAAAAAATGTAGAGTGCCTACAGTGAATGGAAAACTCATGAGATTTAATGACATTGCTGCAACCCACAGTATAAAAGAGCATAATTCCTATATGACAAGTTTGTCTGAAACATACCATCCTACCCATAAAATAACCAATAAATATTTAGTCTGAAGGAGACATGGTGATGGAACAGATTGTATACTATTAGTCTTTCATTTCTTTTACAAGAAATATGTCAGCATGTGGACCATTTTACCAGCAGCCTGTTTTACTCTATGAGCACTCTTTAATTCAGTCTTCATTCTCTACAGTTCTCCCTCCAATTCCTGAAAAAGGAATTGCAGTGGTTGGTTGATGCCTGACTTTCATTTTAAGTTCCTCAGTATTTGCAATAGGACAGCTGAGAGTAAAAATATCAAAAGAAAACTTCTACTGCATTTCATTTAGCTCATTTTAAATTGTGGGGAAAGATCATGGCATTAACTTTATCCCCTAATCATGTTAAAGTGCACTGTTCGGTAGTATTGAGTACGTGACCAATTTTACAAACCTCTTCAGAATACCATTATTAACTCTGTAAAATCGAAACTGTGCTTCTTTTTATAAGTAAGCACCATCCCAACCTACTCTACATTCTCCCAGAAAAATCTGGGACTGACTTCCCCCATTTTCTCTGTAGTATAGTTCTGTGTCATGTCGGGGCACTGTGATTTAGAAGGTAGAGGAGAGGGAAAGGGATATGTGAATCCTATGCTATCTAGGCCTGAGATTTTTACTTAAGTCTTTGTCTAAGAATTTATTCACAGTCTACCTGTAAAGTCATAAATTTCTTTATCTGAATCTATGGGAAGTGAACCCCAGGAAACAGTCTACAGTTAGCTTCCATCCACATTACAAGAATACTTCAGGCTCAACTTCCATTGCAGTACTCACAATTTGGAGTCAATGAAACTGTGAAAGAAGACACTGATGTCAGACCATTCTATAGAGATTCAGCAGCTTAAATTACAGCCTTTTTTCCACACTTTGTCACACATTTTCACTTTTCAATGCTTAGATATTCAGGAATACCTGAGTTATTGTTTTGATAGTATACATTTTCTTCAGAAAAGTGATAGAATAGATTTTTTTAATCCTTATGATTTGAAACAATTTTAAAACAGAGGAAATATCATCTTTCAATAGTGATGCCTCAGCCAAAGACCACCCATTCAACTTTTTGTTTCACTTAACAAATATGCATTGGGTACCTGGGAAGTCAGTTGCTCTTCTCTGTGTAGGAAAACAGTACTGAAAACTGAGAATCACTCAATATTAATTTGTCCTCTTGTCACTTAATATGATTTCAGTGAAAAACACTTCTATGATATTACAATGGTTAGTTCAGTGGCTCACAATTAACACATGAAAATATTTAGTCTTGTGTTAAAATGTTTGAGGCAATGGATGTCTTCTCAGCCACACACACACACACACACACACACACACACACACACGCACACACACGCACACACACACACAACTGGGTTGGTCTTCTAATGTACATTACTATCAACTAAAGACCTAAAAATATCATTGCTCTCCCATAGATTGATAGAGAACACTTGAAGACTGACTTAAGACTTACTCATAAATGAGGTCAGGAGGAGGACATACTTCTGACTTTGGGAGAAAACCAGGAAAACTTTCATCCCAGTTCAGTCCCTGTCCACCAGAGGGAGCAGCTCCCTAATACAAACTCATTTCCTGTCTGAGCTAAAGGTTTAGACTCATCCATTCTACATCACTTCAACATTTCTTCCTGTGAAGAGTTTAAAGATGAGAACTTCTCCAGGCTTAGTGACTGTGATAATCTTAATGTTTGGTAAGTAAAATCAATTTTAAAACTTGGATACTTTCTTCTATAAATTCAGCAAGATATTTAACCATAAATATACTTGAAAGCTTTATTCCCAAAGTGCCACCATTCTCTTTTTCCTCCAGGAAGGACTTGTGGAGACTCTGTGACCCAGAAAGAAGGCCACGTGACTGTGTCAGAAGGGGCTTCCATGACCATAGACTGCACTTATTCAGCCACAGGGTACCCTTCTCTCTTCTGGTATGTCCAGTATCCTGGAGAAGGTCCCCAGCTCCTCTTTAGGGTCTCCAAGGCCAATGACAAGGGACGCTACAACGGATTTGAAGCCATGTACAATACAGAAAACACCTCCTTCCACTTGAAGAAAGCTGCAGTCCAAGAGTCAGACTCAGCTGTGTACTACTGTGCTCTGAGTGACACAGTGGCAGAAACCACAGGGGAAGCTGAGCACAAACTGAGTGACAGCAAGGGTCTGGCTGCTGAACTTCTTCTCTGGCATCTGTGTGGTTTCAGCACAGTCCGATGCATACACCCCTCAACTTCTCTGCTGATGTAAAATCATTCAAATGTTAGAGCAGGTGAACAAGAAGTGAACATCACCATGCTCAGCTGTTCATTACTGAATCTGAAACAGGTTCTTATGGTGGTCTAGTAATACCAATGTGAGCCAGGTAAAATTGAAATGGTCTCTGTAGTTATTCCTGCAAAGACCAGCTCCATATCTTGTTCCAGGTCACCTTGGTCCACATTGCTCCATCCTATTGCTTTTTAAGGGGCCACATGTAACAAAGAAAGTGGAATCTGCATGATAACCCAATAACAGTGCATGGAAGGAGAGGTCACAGAAAGGCCACAGCTCTTTCCCTACTAGGAATTCTTCTTAGAAAAAGAAGGGACAGGAAGAGAAGGAATAAGGAGAAAGAAAACCTTCTCATGGAGAAAAAAGGACTTTCATCATTTAGAAGAAAGGTTGCTTGGTTAGTAAATCAGAAAGACAAAATGCCAATGCTCAAAAGAAAGACAAAAAGTAAAAGTATAATTGCAGAAATAATTAAAGTCAAAGTGATGAGTGTCCCTGGCCAGTTCCCCATATCAGCTGGCCTTCTTACAAAGCATAAACAAGGTAGTTAACTTAACCAGTGGAAGGTTAAGCACACGTTTCATCCTTAATACCACAAACCTTATGTGAATGATAGTAAAGGGTCAGAAATGGTGGCAAATACCTATCATTCCAGAGTGAGTTTCAAGATCAGCCAGAATAAATTTTAATGACAGTCTATCTCAAGCAATGTGTGGTGATACAGACCTGTCACCTCAGCTCTGCATGATGGGTAGGTACTACTCAATATTGTAGTCTGAGCTTAACTCCAGGGAAAAGAGAATGACATCTAAAGAAAAATCAAGTATAAAATGGCTGGGAGAGTAGAACCTATCACATAAAAGCCCCTAAATTCAAACTTCGGCATGAGAAAATTTTTAAAGTTAAAAATTTAGAGAGTAAGAACTGGAAAGGCCATGAGCCTCTGAAGTGTAAGGCAAAGGTGATGACTGCAGAATTGTGTCTTCTGTATCTGTACCTGGGGACCCACTCTGTATTCATATTGCTATGAATTTTTTCATTGCTTCACCCAACATCTACATTTATTGTGATGATTCTTTAATGCGATTGTGCAACTTGTAAGTCTAACTTTTTCAGTGGGCTACTATGCTCCACACTCATGGAAGAGTGGCTTTTCAGTTCAAGTTTCAAGTTTGCATCCATATGGGGGCAAAACTTCCTCCTTTGTCTCTTAAAACCCACACAGATTGGATGAGTTCCATGCATAATATAGGGGACAAAGTATTTTGCTTGAAACATACTGGCTTAAGTATTAATCTTCTAAAAAGAAACCTCAGGGCTGGGAAGGTGGCTCAGTGGTAGAGCACTTGCCTTGCATGCATTAGGCCCTGGGTTCGATTCCTCAGCACCACATAAGCAAAAAGAAAAAAAGCCAGAAGTGGCGCAGTGGCTCAAGTGGTAGAGTGCTAGCCTTGAGCTAAAGCGCTGAGGGACAGCACCCAGGCCAGAGTTCAGGCCCCACAACCAGACCCTCCCCCCAAAAAAAGAAAGAAAGAAACCTCAAAGTGACATGGGGAATAAATTTACAAATACCTGGATACAGTAGCATATCCCAGTGGGCACATAAAATCTCATCATCTTCAGCTTTAGTAATTTTTTTCTGAATGCCTACTTTGTCCTTTAAAACTAAATTATACAGCTCTCTTTTGATTTTGAATACTCTATATCTTTACATTCCCTTTCAACCTCACTGTATATTTCATCTTGTCTTACACTAAGTCCCCATATGTCTATACTTTTCAGATTTACTGATTGTCCATGTCACTGAGAAAATAGTGGTAATAAAAAATATTTCATAAGCATGAGTATTTTACTCCTTCCCGGCATCCAAGCTCCAGTACTTCTCATTTCCTCTCATTCAATAAGTTCTCCAAATCAGGGCTTTGTTGACCCTGAGCACATGTCACCACATCTGACCAACACACACTTGAAAAATAACTGTAGGACTAATGAGTTATTAAAGTACTATTGTCACTACCTGAGCAAAATCACCAGCTATTCACTCATAAAATTTACTATGTAAGTTTTTTGCACAATCCACCTTGTAAAGATTCAGTAGCCAATAGAAAATATAATTTTATACACATGAGCTACTTTACTTGAAGATTTAAATTCATTCTAACCTCTTCCACAGACCTTTTAAGTGACTTGTTTCAATTTTTCAAAAATTGCAAGATGTTAAAAACCTACTTTCCTATCAGAAAGCTAAAGCTTAATTTATATATCTGATGTCAGATAGAGCCAGATTTCAAACTGTGGTCCTCAAATATATGTCTTAATTACCAATCTGCTGTCTTTATATAGACCCTATGGGCTTATATTCTATATGCCACTGTGAGGAGAGGAGAGGAAAATCATCCAAAAGCTTAATGAGAAACCCTAGCTCTGGCCCCAAGATGTCTCTGTCTCCACTGTTTCTGGGCTAGTATGTACTGAGTCTGGTCTCTGACTGACCATACTCTTTTCAAATCCTTCTGTTTGACCTAACAGAAAAGAGAAGATGTTGAATTGTCAAATCAGCTTTCAAGGCAGACCTCTCTGCAGAATCAGAATGGAGAAATACTTGAGTTCCTCATTAGTGGCTTCTTGGCTTTGTTTTTGTGATAACTTAATGAAAAGAGGTCACCAGGTTGGATGAAAATGCCCACAGAAGTATTTCTTAGATTCTGGGATAAAGGTGAATATCTTGTGGTGGGAGGAGGCAAAAAAAATAGGCACATTATCTACCTAACTAGAGATTCATTATGGACTGTAAAGAAGGGATGCTAATTAGAAAACATTAAGATAATTGAACAACTGAAGCCTTTTTTTTTTTTTTTTGGTCTGGTCGTGGGGACTGAACTCTGGACCTGGACACTGTCCCTCAGCTCTTCAGCTCAAGGCTAGCGCTCTACCACTTGAGCCACAGCGCCACTTCCAGTTTTTTTCTTTTTTGCTTATGTGGTGCTGAGGTATCAAACCCAGTGCCTCTTGCATGCAAGGCAAGCACTCTACCACTGAGCCACCTTCCCAGCTGGACAACTGAAGTCTTAACTCTCACATTACAGAATTTTCTGAATAGGAGTGAGTGGTCAAACTGGAGTAGTGGCCTGAGTCCCTGACCATCCTGGAGGTAGAGAATTGCACTCTCAGTACAATTACACCATGAGCCCCTTTCACAACCATAAGGTGGCAAAAATGACACAGGGAGAGGCCCTGTTTCCCTAACAAGGATGAATTTCATGGAAAGCAAAAAGTGGAATGGAAGGGACACAGCAACTATGGATGTGGCCACCAAGCACAGCTCCCTGCACATCACAGCTTCCTCCATCGTGGATGTATGATGTTCTTCTACAGCCAGTACATGAACCTGTCCCTGGAGGCTGACAAGGATGCCTACAGGTGGAGCAGGGGTGTTGTATGTATGTTGTTTATTGTTTTTATAAAGGAGCTGCTGTTTTTTTCCAGACACAACAGAGTTTGAGGGTGAACCTGGAATTCTATAGTCTAAAATATCCTCAGTCAACACATAAAGTTAACCAGGGTTTCTGTTTCTGTGAGTAAGATCATCATACTTCATCACAGTTTGAAAGCTCAGTGTAAAGTCCAACTACAGACAGAAGGCTGAATGTAATGTCTTGACCTGTCTCTTTGTCCTGATTAGCTACTCAGGCTTTTTCTCCTAGTTGTTCAGCTTCACAGCAAGCTCACTGTAGAGGGAGAGATCTGCTCCACTAATTTAGTCAGGATCAACATCTTGAACACTCTTCTGTCATATTCTGTAACTGTTCCAGAGAAGGTCTTTTTGCTCCAACAACTTGGCAGTGTGACTGGTAAGTGCAGCCAAGGCTATCCTGGGCTTTTCAGCTGCTGGTATCTAAAAAAAAACACTTAAGAGATAAGCAGCCTACATGCAATTGAGAGCACTGTTTGCACAGGCTAGGAACAATTAGAAACATTTAAATATGGTATTTCACATAAGTAAATACTTATGTGAAAGGCAAATACTAACTAAAGAAACCACAAAAAACATAAACTGATGTATTAAAAATGATTGTCTTTGGGTGGTAGGACCATGACTTTTTGTGTGTGCCAATCCTGGGGCTTGAACTTAGTATCTGAGAAGTGTCTCTGAGCTCATTTTGCTAAAGGCTAGTACTCTACCACTTGAACCACAGCTTAACTTTTTGTGGTTAATTGGAGATAAGGGTCTCATCAACTTTCCTACCAAGGTTGATTTTGAATTGTGACCCTCAGCACTGTACCTCCTGAGTTCCTATGATTACAAGCATGAGCCACTGGTTCCTGGCAGGGAAATATGATTATTTAAATCTTACATATTTAAAGTGATTACATATTCCAATATATTATTTAGTTAATTTAATATCATTTTGATTGTATATACAGATTCATTTCTGCAGTTAGTAAATGGATATTTCATGATTGTTTGATACCAGGCCCTGCACAGTTCATTGTAACTAGTCTGGAGCTAAGTTGAATGTCAATGCTTCAAAATTCTTTCAATTCTTTCAAATACTTCAAGGCTGAGCGCCAGTGGCTTATGTCTATAATCCTAGCTACTCATATGGCTGACACTAGGAGGATCACAGTTAGAAGCAAGCCAGGCCAAAAGAAAAATCTAAGAAATTCCATGTCACTTTTATCAGCAAAACGCCAAACTGGAGGCATTACTCAAGTAGTACAGAGACAGTTGTAAGAAAGTTGTCTTAGAGCACAAGGTCCTGAGTGTCTCTCTCTCTCTCTCTCTCTCTCTCTCACACACACACACACACACACACACACACACACACACACACACACACACACAGAGCAAATTTAAAGGTATGTATCCATCAAATACATCTTTTTTTCAGTTAGGAAATTAAATTAGATTTAAGCTAAATTAGATAGTTCAGATTTCTTCTTTATATTTTTTCTTCTGTATAATTACTAATTCA